CATCCACATTTCTGTGAGGTTCCTTCCACATTCGTGACTTATTTCTCCAAGGAAATTCACATTCCTCTGAGCCCACAGTCCTCACAGGCTCACAGGTATAAATAAAGGAGGTTGGGTGAGACCATTTAGGAGCAGAATCTCATAGTAGAAAAAGTGATGTTTTAAAGACATAACACTTTTCAATAAGGTGATGGTCAGTTTGTGTTATGGTTTAGAACCAAAAAGACCCAGAGCTTCTTTAATTACAGTGGCAGCTATTATGTTTGTAAACACGAATCCTTTCTTCTATCCTTCAGATAAATTCAAAGTACCATCTCAATACTCCTCAGCAAATACCTCTTGCCCTTTCCAGTCTTAATATATCAGCCCTTCAGGGAGGAATCCAAATTTAAAATTCAAGGCCACAGAGGCTCAGGACAACTCAGAGTCTGTCCTATGAGAGCGAGAGGGAGAACAGTTGCAGATTTAATATTAGGGAAACATTCGCTCTCCTCTGTCTCCCTCTTCCCCCACCTCCTTTTCCAAGAAAATAAACATTTTTTTCACTCCTCGATCCCATTGAAAGTTGATTTCCTTTAACCTTTTAAAGAATTCACCTTATTCCCCATCTACAGCTTCCTAAAATGACTCCTAGACTGAAGTGCTGTTCTCATCAACCCACCCTGCAATTACCAGGAGACAGGAAACACTCTGCAAAAGCTGTGACAGAACAAAACCATTTCACAGTGATTTATTAGGCATGCAGCCATTAATGACTTTGCAAGTGTGGAAAGCAACATGGAGGGGCACAGTCTGAGCCAACAGTACTGTCGGAACACCATTGTCATCTGTTGGGTTAGAAATATTTAAGCCATCTGATCTTCAGCCTGGCATCCCAACGTAACAACAAGCCTGGAAACAGCAATAAATTTTGACATTGAGGAGTCTCTTCAAAATCGTGGAGGATGACAAAGAAATGGGAGAAGGTGTGCAGAGATGTTTGTTTGTGTGACATTGAAAATAAAGGATCCTGGTCCCCAAGCACATCCTTCTAATGCATCAGCTCTGTCAAGGCTGAAGTACCAAAGGCAACAGCCACTTCATCGAACTGAAAGATGTTTTTACATTCATTTTCAGATGTTATTTTTGCCCTTATTGTGAAAAAATCTCTTTGTTCTTTCAAATAATAAGTCACCTTGTGATGTATTTGGGAAAAATCCAAGGAAGTGCCAAGCTTCTGCAATTCCCACCTGCTGGGAGCAGCAGGTGCTTGGCACTTGCTGTGGTGAAGCTCTTGAGAGAGGTTCTGCCCTCAGTTGCGCTCAGGTAAATACAACATAACTTTGCTGGCACTGGCTGAATCATCCCAGATGAAATTCAAGGTAAACAACAGCAGAATCTCTCATTTTCTTTTCTTTCTTTTTTTTTTCGTGGCACCAGAGGATTATAATGGCAACATTAACATTAGAAGAGATCGATTTTTGCAAGATGACAAAAGAACACACTGATCTCACTGCTGCGAGCTCCTACTCAGCAGACAATTGCATCCCATCTTAGAATAGAGTTTTAAAAATGTTCACAGCAATGTGCAAGCACTAACTTCTAATGGCTTAAAAAGGAATTTTATAATGCTAATGTCTTCACATTACAGATATGATGCATCTAGAGAGCAAAAGCTTCTATTTAAATCTGTAGCAGCTTTCAAAGATATTTGGACCAGAAATTTCCATTTAGGCATCTCTAATTTCAAGACTTCAGAACGTGCTGCTGGGAGAGACAGAGGTTGATATGACCTTTACAAAGGGTCCTGCAATGATATTATGGTCCATCTAAATTACCAGTTTTGGTCAGTCATGTATTTGCAAAGAAAACCTCCACCAAACAAAAGTTGTTTTATCAGTCCAACCTCTAAACAAATACTCCCCTGCCACACTACAGAATACAGTAGCCCCCACTTTACTCTAGGCTACTGAACACGAGAGGAGCAAGGAAAGCCAAGTTGCAGGAACTTACTGGTCCACCACTACTCCCAGGACCACAGGCCAGGCACCACCCACCTGTGCTGAAGGAGACTGAGCACAGGAAGAAGGTGAAAATAGAATGTTTTCAGATCTTTATATTATGTCTTGTTCTTGCTTGAGAAAGACGTACCTGAGAAATGTCCTGGAGTGCTGCAAGACACAAACCAGCTTTCTTAAATTGATCCATTTTTTCCCACTGTCACACACAGCCTTCCCCCCAAAAAATAACGTGGGAGAAGGAACTAAAGCGTACAACTTTCTTTTCAGACATGCTTATTATTCCACAATCTTCTAACCTAGTTGTAGTGCATTTTGCATCATTCACCTTTTTCTTCGCAATATATGTAATTATTTTTTCAGTCAGCACTTCTGTGTGCTTAATAAACATGTTTTAGGCCAGCCTGCATCACAATAGTATCTCTCTGTCCCATGGCTTTTTCTTTCAAAATTGACTCCTCTCTCCCCTCCTACTCAGACCTTATTAGTGCTTCTCTTGTTCCTAATTTGAAGATCAAAATGAGCACAAATTACGAATCTCAGCAATAAACACGATCTCACAGCAACACAAAGAAGAGGATGAACAAAATAAAAATTACTGTCTGGTGAAAGCTCCCTTGACAACTACAGCTACACTGACAGGCGCCACTGAAATAATAGGAATGATGCTTCAAAACAACAGCCAAGAAAACAGTTATGAAAGAGAAAAAAAAACAGTCTAAATGGATCTTTTCAAATGCAGATTCCACTGTCAAGTGAGGAGAATGAGAAAAATGTTCTTTCTTATAGCACAGTCATGTTTAAACTCTGCCAGATTACAGGAAACCACTAAGAATGTGAGTACAACCTGAAAGATCCTGGGCCCAGCAGTCCATTTTAGGAACGTTAGAATGTTGCAGAATGGAAGAGAAGGATCATGTTTTGGGGATGGAGAGGAAGGATGGAAGGTGTCATCTCATTAACAAATCTTTAATTGTTTCCAACTGAGTGAACAACAAAACTAATGTTGACTTCAGTGCAATACCAGGCATTCGCAGGCTTGTATCTGAAAAACTACAACTATGTAAGTGAAAAACTGCATAGAAAAGAACCAGGAGATTAAAGAACATGAAAAATTATGACCCACCACTAAGGATGTTCCATCCAAAACAGAACTAAGGTGACACTCACAAAGAAAGGTTGTCCATGGCTTAGGGAGGCAAATAGGAAAAAGCATTAGCCTTCCTCTGTCAATAATGCTATAGTGTGAGCACTTAGGCACTTCTCCCACTTTAGCTTCACATCCATAAACCGAGGAAAATTGCTGTAAGTACTGCTGTGGTCACAGGTATCTGGTGGTCAGCAGGTATTTCAAAAGCACCAGGTGGATCCTGTAAAATCCTGCAACAACCACAGCATTTCCAGAATTACCTATGGCTCCTCAGCAGGCAGAAAGTGCAGCTCTTGGGAGCAGCAGTGGAGATCCAGCTGCACAAAAGCTTCTGGCTGGACTGAGTCAGAGGTCGGGGGGGCAATGGAAAGAAAGGGCAGAGAAAATGTAGCAGGGAGGGTGGAAAGGAATAATGTGCACAGGGTGAGCGGTGCTTTGGTGTGGTACATTTTATTTGTTGCTATTTTACATCCCTATTGTGAAGTACTACTGGTAACATGGCAAAGTTTATTGCCTAAAAACTCCAGTCAGAAATACATAGGCAACACCCATCTTAGCAGAAACAAACCCTTTTTTCTAGTACTGAATGCACTCAGAGCTCCAAAAGTTTGGCTTGGGCTCTTGGGCTTGCATTCCTCCCCAGAGAAAAATGAAATCTGCAGAGGAGTCATGTATTTCTCCTCCATTTTATTCCACACACTCAAGACACCTAATAAATTTGCTCTGACTTCTCATTCTTTCCTAAAACAAAGGAAAAACTTAGAACCAGAAATATCTTTTTGCTCCTTGGAGGCTTGGCAGAGACGTGTAGGGTTGTTTCCCACTTTTACATAATGAGATTTAAAATAAAATAAAAAAAACAAACCCCAAACAAATATAACAAATAAGCAATAAAACAACAGAGTGCCCAGAAAAGATACAAGGACTTTGTCAGTTCTTGCCAAAAGCACTGACACCAAAAGCACATCAGGACTGAGAATAAAAAACTAATAGTTATATAGATCATAAGAACATCCTAATAGTAAAGAAAAACAATAAGTTTTGAAGGGCATGTAATTCTGAAGACTGACCCAGTCAGCCTTTTAGTACTCACTGGGAATACTGAGCAACTTTTGATCTGTGTTTATTCTCTATCTATGTACTGTAATTTCTTGCACGTTTCCTTACAGTGGAATATACAAAACAGAGTCGGCGAACAGACTGCACGGCTCACTGGTCTGCTCCACGGTGGTTAAACAACTGCCCCCTGCTCTCTCGGCAAAGAACAAACTGCTTGGATCCAAACCTGAGATCGAGCTCTGGGCAACCCTGCCCTGGGAAATTCAGATGTGGATTAGTCTTGAGAGAGGGAAGAGTCCGATTAAACCCTGGTTCAGCCACAGGCACGGACAGTTCCCAGAGCCAAACCTGGGGATGCTGAGACCAACATTTGGGGGTGAAGAGACCTTTTGCTAAACTGTACTACAAGTCTGCGTGTGAACTGTGAGAGACACACTGAGCCAAACCCACAGCTCAGGGCAGAGGAGCACTGGTGCAGCCCGGAGTAAGAGTCACTTCTAAAACTCGAAAAGTGAGGATAACCGAAGTTCTCACTCCGTGCCACGGACACTGCAACTTGAGCTCCCAGCACTGCACGGGGGGCTCAGACCCCGTGCTTCAACGTGCCCCAGATGTGGAGGACTTGCGGGTTGCAGGGGCTGCACCCCCCAGCCCAGCATGTCCCAAACTCCAGACCTTGGCAGCAGGAGACACCTCTCCCTGCCTTTCGCTGAGCTGCATGTCAGACAGAAACATGCCTCAGCGCCTAAACCACGCCAGCTGCCGAAGGGGAGGAAGAGCAAGGAGCCACTTACGGGGATGTGCACTCGCAACATGAGTTTCTTCTGGCCGGAGCTTTTCCTGCTGCTGGAGGCATCTTTCTTCTTGTCCATGGCAGTGCTTCCCATCCCTTCACCCAGGCGTGGTGCTGAGCGATGGATCTGGAGAGGGAGGCTCCTCTTCCACCTCTCCCCACAGTCCCACGGGCCGCAGTTACTACAAGCTCCTTATTTTGTTTTTTCTTTTCTTTTTTTTTTTAATGGCCTTAGGAAATTGAGGGGGGGCGGAATAGGGGGAGGGGGGAGAATGAGAGAAGCAGAGGGAGGGGGAGGAGTTTCTCCAGCTCCGGTTTTTAATCCCAGCAGTGAGGTGTCAGGGGGGACCTTCGCAAGAGCATGAGATGCCCTTACAGACGCTGCTCCCTTTCTCACTCTTCCGCCCTTTCAAAAATATCCGGAGCATCCTGGGGGGGGGAGAAAGTTTCCTTCCCCTCGCCCAGCCCGGCCGCACTCTCACCGAAAGAGAGAGAGAAAAAAAAAATAAAAAAAAAACACCCAAACGCCACAAAACCCCGAAAAGGGGAAGGCGCTCGGGCGACGCTCCTGGCAGAGCGGGGAGTCCCGCGGGGAGCCCGGTCGGGGAGGGAGGGAAGGAGGGAGGGAAGGAGGGCAGGAGGATGGGAGGAGGTGCCCGGGTGCTGCTGAGAGCCCCGGCCGGGTCGTCACGAACTGCACAATGAGCACCACGGAACTTTCCCGCAGCCGCTTCCCCCGGCTCCCGCTCGCCCCGCCGGCCCCTGTGCGGGGGGAGACGAGCTGGAGCTGCGCCTGCATTCCCGGGGCTGCCGGAGCGCGGCGGTGGGCGAAAAGGCTGGGCTTCACCTTGCCAAAAACGCCCGAAGGCGGCGCGGTTCCTTTCCCTCCCGACCTCCCAGGCTGTTCCCTCGCCTCCCTCCCCGCAGGATTTCTCCCGGTCGTGCCCGAGAGGAGGGATATTTCCCCCGAGGCAGTGCTTCCCACCCCTCGGTCCCCGCAGCCCGGCCCGGCGGCTGCAGCGGCCCCGGGACGGCCCCGGGCTCGACGGGAGTCCCGCTGGGCTCATTCCCGCTGGGCAAACCCCCCTGGCTGCCCTCCCTCCCCCCCTCCCTCCCCCGGGGTGACAGGGAACGCTTGCCAAGCCCAGGAGGGCCGCGGTCCACTCCTGAACACGGATTTTTTTTTTCCGCTCCCTCCCTCCAAAAAGCCTTCAGCGCGCTTGCAAACTCAGCCGGGCGAGAGAGGCGGCTCAGCCCCCGCGGGCGAATGGATTTGGCGTCACAGGGTATCGGAGAAGGAATAGCTTCCAACATCCCTTCACCTGTGGCTGCTCCGCGTTACAGCTCCAGAGCAAACCCGTGCCAGTGCCACCCCTGCTGCCAGGCAGGATTCCAGGGCTGAGAGTCTGGGACCGCAAAGAGAGAGAGAGAAAGAGAAATGTCTTTAGAACAGCAAGTGGTTTCCGTACACATAGAAACAAACATACATTCTGGATCAAAATACGAGGTTTTGGTTTAGAAGTGACTCTTCTTCCCTGGACGATCTTTGCACCTTTTTACGTCGCCTGAATTTGACAATGAGACAAAGCCCATCACAGCCACAGACCTTTGATCCCATCACTTAAACTCAGGTTTTCCCTGGGTTCAAAGCCTACACCCTAATTACCACCAACAAATCTTACGGGATTCTATAAAACAACGATTTATAAACCTCGAGGGAGAAGGGGGAAGAGTTTTCCTCAAAAATCTCATCTTCTGAAAAAAATACAGGATTGTGGTGGTTATCTTCAAGAAATACAAGAATTCAGATTTATTTCCTTCCTTATGGAAGTCTCAGTATTTAACGGATGCAAAGTTCTGTCAGGTATAAAGTCTGTAGCCACTTCTCTAAAACCACACAGAATTAAATAAGAATATGAACCCTCTTCTTTAATGGAATAGAGAACTGTCTTGTAGGTTCCTACGGGAATCACGGAAGGCAACAGACCCAGAAATGAGACTGCAGGGGTTAAACAACATTGTCACCAGGTCAGGAAGGGATGTTAATGGCACGTGGATAGAGGAAGCAAAATAGTCCTGGACAGTAAAAAGGTGTCTGGGGCAGCCTGGGAGCTGCACCAAAATAGAGGAGGTCTGTAACACCCGCTTTTTCCCAACATTTATATAACTTTTTTTGCCAACGAAGTGCTGCTGCCAAGGGATATGGGAATGACTGACCCCTGGAATAAAGAAATGAAAAAAAACCTAATAAACATGCTTGTGAATAAACCATCACAACATTTTTCATTGCTAGTATGGTCCTGAAAGTTAAAAAGTAAGGGAAGAAAAGGTAGAATTTCTATAGAAGTATTTTAGCACTGGGTATTGTAAGCAAGCACGTCTCCTGGACATTCTTTATTAAATTAACAAACATTTGAGGTGGAATAAAAGCTACCATATAAATATTCCATTCCCTTGTCTATGCAAAATTGTATCCTACAACATTATAATTTATTTTCTATATGTAGTATTTTAAACCAAAATTAATTCTTCTTTCTTTTTGTAGGCTATTTATATGAATAATTGTGGATATTGTAAAATAAGTTTCAGAAAGTAACACAAAGGCAGTATGACCAAACCCTCAAACCTAAAATCCCCCCATGAATCATGTTCTCCCCCATCACGATATTGCCTTAAGCATGTTTATAACTTTGAGAATACCACAATGGGGGGTTATTCTTATTTTTCTCCTTTGATCCTCTAAGATCCCAAATACAGCCCTTGATCCTCCAGTCATATTTTTAAACTTTTCATTACAGCTCTGAGGATTAGAGACACATTAAAAAAAAACAACATAAAACCCCAAAACACAACCCACAACAAACAAACAAACAGAACAAAGCCAAAATTCTCCTACAGCTGCTAGACTTCAGGAGCTTGACTCTTTGTAAAATCAAGTGTTAATAAGACCCTGCTATAAAATAAAGGAATCACTAATTATTTCAGACATTAGGACATTATGATTTTATTCTTCTTTTTTTATTATTATTTTTCATGATTAAATGCAGCCAGCATATGAACAAGCAACACTGTAACTACTTTTAATGAGAGTTAAAATTATTTTTCCACACTAAATCCTGTCAATTTGACTACCAACAACCATGTGTTCAGACGCATGTAAGCACCTAAATTACTAATTTCACAGACAAATGGGTACCAAAATACTTTTGAGAACATCACAGAATCACACAGTGGTTTGGGTTGGAAGACACCTTAAAGATCATCTGGTTCCAACCTCCCTTCCATGGACTGGGACACCTTCCACTAGACCAGGTTCCTCCAAGCCCCACACAGTCCCACTTCCAGGGATGAGACATCTACAGTTATTGCCCTAAGCACTCAAAGGTTTCATGCACCCTCAGGGGGGAAAGCAGAGCAGCATTTCAAACACACCAGCCACACTTTGCCTTTCCCTAACACCACTTCAGTGCTCCCCCTTGCCATAACGCAGCCATACCTGTAACTCAGCAGAAGTAGCACGTGCATTTTGGGCTACACACTGTCACAAGACTTGCCCTAGTTAATCCTTAAATACAGGCTGAGTCAATTTTTCCATAATAAATTTCCAGAGTACGTTCCTAAGTTTATAAAATAGCCATAACACTTTGCTTTGAGCCTTGGTTGTATCGATGATAGTTGCTGTAAGGAAAATAATACGTCACCAGCAAACTTTTGTGCTGGGATTTCACATGCAATATATAGGGATTTTTTGGAAGACTTTAAGTGAAAAAGTGTGTCTAAAAGCAGTGGTGCATGGGGAGAACTATGTGAACTGATGCTGAGTTTTAAATCTTTATTAAACCCAGCATTTTTTGCTTTAACGTTTGTTAATAATATTGTCAAGCACTCATATATTCTATTAGAGAAAAAAACTATCTGTGAAAATATCTATTATTATTTCTCCTCAGTTGACATATAATTATCTTACTGTGAGCATTTAATGTAGATTTTTCACATATGCAATCTATAAGTATTTTGCAGGCTCAAAAACATGCAGAAGTCCCATTTTGGGGGACTAATTTTTCAACTATAAATAATGCCTATATTCTATATCAGGATAAATACTGGAATTTCTCAGATCACATTATTTCTTATGTATGGGTATTTCTTACATACATATTCTTATTTGGGACTCTCAAACCTTTTTAAAATGTTTCTAGGATTTAAAGACAAATCCTTGAAAATAAAGACATTTTGAAATCTGGATGCCCAAGAGCTTATCTGGCTGTTACTGGTATCCAGTATCCAGTATCCTGGTATCTACTATACTATTTTTCTCTTTGTTTTCTTCTTCTTATGCTGGTCTTCGTCCATGTTGGTCTCTGTGCTTCCTCCTCTGCCTGTCCCTTTCTGCTCAGGTTTCACCTCTTGTTCTCATCCTTCTGATTTTTTTCTCCATCTTTTGTCTGTTCTCTGGTTTGCTGCTCAGTTCCTTGAACATGCATGAAGTCGATTGCTGTCGGTTTCTGTTCAGCACATTTATTAGATTGAATTCGACCCTGCTGCATAGAGCTCCTTAATTTAATTATCAGCACAATGTAATTAACCTGATGCAGTATTGGGATGCAGCAGTCCCTGCACAAGCGTTCTGTAGAGGCCCCAGAGAGGACACAGCCCCAACATCTGTCTGCCCACGCTCACACTCACCTGCTACCTGCTGACACTGAACACAGTGCAGGGAGCAGACTTCAAGTCAAGTAGAATATAGACACAACATAAGGAAATACCCGTAGACAGCTAAATTGCATTGTTTGCAGGAAAACTGCAATTAAAATGGTCTTCTGTGGGGAAATTTGCAGGAGAAATTGCAGGTCTGCCAGGAAAGCACAAGTGGCTGAAGTAAGGTGAGGTAATGAGGTTAATGAGAGGAGCTTCTGGTCCCCAGAAGGTCTCCAGGAACGTGACAGCAGCAAAGAGTGACAAGTGTTTATGCTGAAAAGAGACAGGTTGTGTGGTCTGGCAGCTGTGCTTCCTCTCCAGGCTGTCAGACACTTCTGGTACCTGAGTGGTTACTGAAATAAATTCTCTGGTCACCCGAAGCCCAGCAGCACACTGTGCCCTGCAGCTCTCTCCCTCCTGCTCACTGTGCTGGTCACTCCAGAGCCACTGCAGCTGCTTCATCCACTGAGCCACAGAGATGTCCTCTCATCTGGACCACAACACAGAGGAGAGGAAGTGAGAGAGAAGCAGTTTCATAGGAACTTTCTAGGCTGTTTCTCTGATTTAATCTGACTGATAATTTCTCTCCAAACAGCCAAAGGGAGGGACAGTTTTTTGGGTTTACTTTCCTGAAAAGTGTCTCATCTGCAGGACTTGTGCATCTTGACAGTTGATCCTGCCTATCAAAAAGTTTCAGACGTGTTCATTTGAAATGAGTAGGCCCACGGAACAGATTAATTTTATATGTAGAAGGCCATGGCATGGGCACTGAGGCAAGGATTGGCAGGAGGCTCCCCATTTTACCAGCTGCAATGCTTGCCTCAGTATCTCCCAGCTGCATAGCTCCACAGCCACAATCCCCACACAGTTGCCCACATACCCCAAGGTACTCTCCCCACAAGGACAGATGCAGGCACAGGAAATCAGATGGTGTGACGTGAACCCCGTTGTGTAGTTCACATTAGTGCCTGCACTGTTCTGTAGACTATGC